ATGGGGACACTCATGGTCTGGACTGTTAAACCAGGTAAGTGACCAACACAGTTAATCTTCTGTCAGATGATCGTGGTCACTTACCTGTGTTTCTCCCCCAGAGTGTCTGAGATTGGGCGGTGCCCCGCCCCCCCGCCTGCAGTGTCCGCGAGCCACAGCTCCGCTTTCGTTTTTGTTTTATTTTAATAAACCTTTTGAACTTTCCTACTGACTGTCTCTCCTGAATACTGGGTCCATCTGTCCTCGTTTCATGACATATGTAGACATGAAACTCATGTAATTATACCCTTCTCCTTTGTGTTGTCCCTAACACCAGCATCTTCCCAATTCCACCTTTACTTATAAGTCCATACTACTTCAAAACACCTTTAATCAAGCAAATAAATGTAACTATGTGTATAGAATTATACATGTACGCATTTAAACGTTCCTTCACACATCTTCATTCTGTTGGGATCTGGAGATCTGCCACCTTTCTCCAGCAGAGGGCGCCCTTGGGTCTCCTGAGCTGAAGCCACCAGCACACCTGTGGCTGATCATCTCATCAGGAGACCAGCTTTATAAGCAGCGGCTGAACTTCCCTTCAGTGCCAGAGTGTTAAACAGTTATGGTTAGCAAGCCTGAGCCAAACCTGTTGTCTGAATCTCTGTCTGCTTTAAAAGCCAACCTGAATCTAACCTGCCTTTTGTCCTCTCTACCTTCCTAGGAAGACCTGATTGACTCCAGGAGCTCTGGAGGAGCTCATAGTCAGAAACCTGCCTGCTCTGTGAAGCCAAACCTGAAGATCCGCTATCTGAATCAACAAGCCAGTTCTCAGGAGAGAACTTGGAGATCAACTCAAGATCTGAACCTCACTAGTCTGAAGCCAAGCTCTGCCGCTGCTAAGCCCTCTGTTGAACCCTCAGTCTCTGGACCCTTCTGGTTCCCTCTCTCCAACGCTCAGTCTGAACCACCATCAGGTACAGATCAGTTCCAAGCTCTGACAAGACTCTCCTGCTACTTGGCTAATCAAACTGTCCCTCTCTGCAGAGAACCCTGTGATACCTATCCCAGACCCGTTCCAGTATCAGTTCAAATAACTTTATTGTGTTCACTCTCAATAAACAGTTGTTAACTTTTACTCTGTCTCCGTGGTGTTCTGCATTTGGGTTAAGCTCCTTAGACCCAACATGACACATTCATACAGTTATCACCCATAGCCCACACAAATAAATACACCGCAAAATATATGTATACACCAATGTACAGTGACTAAAAGTACCGACTGATGTTCACCACCCTTCTTCCGTCTCATATCTTTTTTTAAAAAACCACTTTAATTCATTTCCTAAACAGTCTCAACTAATGTTGAAATGAAACAACTAGTTAGTCACTGGTTTTTCTAAAATCTTGGAAAGCTGTGGAAGTAGAGAAACAGGCCTATAGTTTGTACATTTTTGCCTATCAGTTTTGTATTCCAGTGTGATTTTAGCAGTTTTCTATTTAAATAAAACTGTTTGGAATTGGAGGTTACAGATATGAGTCAATCATTTTAAAATTGCATAAATATCTCTTCTCTGTATTGTCAATGTCATCAAAGTTAGGCCTTTTCCCCACATTTATTAACAGCTATGACCTCTCCCTTCACCTCTGCTGGGAGAAACATCCAGTTTGGATTTTTTGTTTTGAGTACCTCGATGAGGCTCTTTCTTGGCTCCTTTTAAGGCTCCCCTACAGAAGCCTAGATGTAATAGGCCTACCTGTAGAATCACTCCTGCCAAAATAAATCACACCCTGCAGAGAGGAGTAGAGCATAGAAACACACCTTATTTATCACTGTGAGTTATGATCCTTCAGGGTGTGGTGATTTTTAGATAAAGGCTCAACTGTGCACTGTATTTATCGACTCTTCACTAGGCTTATGCTTCTCGGAGTTTACCCACAGATAAAAGATAACTTCTGTTTACAGTTAAGAATTGTTCTTCAAACCAAACCCTAAAAATGAAATGTAAGAACCTGCTGTTCCGTAGATACAGCTAACTAGAATAATTTCCTTCTTCTTCATACAGACTTCAGTCTTTATGCATTCTGCTATGTCCTCATAACCTTCATGATTTTTATAAAATCAAGTAGATGCAAATTCAAACTGGAAGACTCATCCAAGTATCACCTACATTCAATCACCTCATCAAGCACCTCTGCCCCAGCCAATTACCATCAAGCCCTAAGTCCTCTTCAGCCAACCATCCTGTAAGGTTCTGCTAAAAGCTCCCGTCACAAACTCTCCTGATCTTCAGCTGAGCTTCGACCCACCTCCATCCCATCTCTTCCATCATGCTCTCAGCTCCTCCTGGCTTCCTTCTCCTCTAATAATAATATTAATACATTTTATTTAACAGCGCCTTTCTTGACACTCAAGGTCACTTTACAAAAGATACAAAAGATAAATAAAAAGAAAGATGAAAATACAAAATACAGATACAGGAACATAAAAACAATTATGGATAGGGAAAAGAGCAGTGTATTCACAGATAAGCGAGCTGGAAAAGATGGGTTTCGAGTCTGGCTTTGAATAAGGAGAGAGAGTCAATACTGCGGAGGTCGGGAGGAAGTGAGTTCCACAGCTGGGGAGCAGAGCGGCTGAAGGCTCTGCTCCCCATGGTGACAAGTTGAGCTGGGGGTACAGTGAGGTGGATGGATGAGGAGGATCTAAGGGAGCGGGAGGAGGTGGCAATGTGAAGGAGGTCTGACAGATATGGAGGAGCAAGGTTATGGATGGCTTTGAAAGTATAGAGAAGGATTATAAATTTAATTCTGAATTGAACTCTAGCCTCCATTCCACCACCAGTGTCCCAGGGAAAGACACATCTAATTCTAATCTCACAATGATCATCCAAGCTCATCACCATACACAGCTTCCATGTCTTCTGCCATGGTCAGAGCACCAAAGAACTGTCCGATTCACCAATTAATATATCTAAATGCCATCTTTCTTGCATGTGTGATATACTGTATATATATATATATATATATATATATATATATATATATATATATATATATATATATACATAAATACATACATATGTGATTTTAAAGTACATATTCAAATGTATCTTAAATGTAAAAATATCTTTCACTTTTTTGGTGGGACAGCAGCTCCAACTGTGTCTGGCAGAATGTAGTTCATCTTTCTGCTGCCAGAGTGAGTATATCGTGTGGACTGACCCAACAGAACCTCTGCCCAAAGAAGCAACTGAAGGTGGAGGAGCAGCTTTATTGATGGGATATCAGAACCTGTTCTGAAGAGTCTGCTGGACAAACTGCTGGACTCAAAACAGCCCTCTGGAGGATGAAGAGGCAGGGAGATCTGGACCTCTGTGGGACCAGATTTCTTTCATATTGATGAACTGTGGAGGCACCACCCTCTAAACCCCACACAGCCTGAGCAGTTTGTCAGGAAGAGATGACCAGTTGTAAAGTATAAAGATCACTCTGTGGTCCTGCTGGATGCTACCACAGAAGAATTCATTTTTTTCCTGTAACACTGAGTTATTTATATAAGTAACTTTATATATACTGCATGCATCATTTAGGTAGTTAAAATTGTATTACTTCTTGAGTTATTTACTGTCAGAGGCAGGTGCTTCGGCAGGAGAGTAAGTGTTGGACCGGCCCACCGGGCAAATGCCCAGTATCACAGATTACCAGCCCGAGTCTGCATTCATCCATCCATCCATCCAATTTTTTTTTTTTTTTTTACCTGTGGGATACGTACAGGCAGGTAACACCTTCAGCTTTTCATCAGTCGATCGTAGGGCAACGAGAGACATACAGGACAAGCAACTTTTCACACACAGTCATACCTATTAACCTAAGAGACCAACTGACCAACATTCATGTTTTTGGAATGTAGGAGAAAATGAAATAACCTAGATACCGGCTTCTCTGCAGGCATAAAGTACTGGCAGAAAGATTCAAACCCAGGGACCCACTCGCAAGGCAATGAATTTAAAAAAGATGTATCAACATTTATATAATTATTATGTGTTGGAGAGTTGCTGACGCATAAAAAAAAATCCTGCAATCCATGGATATTAAAATAATTAAATAAAGACTGAAATATTTATATTATTTATATTTATATACACCATTAAAATACATTAAATTGAGAACTTTATATTATGACTTCCATATTGGTTGATTTTTTTTTTTCATTATGAAAACATTCAAATAATTATTGAAATACAATTTTATTTAATCTTTTTTATTTTGCTTTTACTTGTATTATAGCATTTATATTCTGATTTGTTGAACGAGTGCAGTGTTTGTGATAGTTATGTCCAGATGTTTCCAAAAACTCAAATAGAAGTAAGAGGGAAGTTGTTCGCAAATCATTTTTACGCAACTTCAACGTGAACTTGAATGCAACATGAAAACGTCATCAAGATTTAAACCAATGGTGTTTCGGGGAAGGCGCGGCTTAATAAACCTAGCGACCCTTGTCCGGTTGGTAGTTTCATTCCATAGCTGATATCTTCATCCTGTTTGCTGTTAGAAAAACAGGCAGTTAACTTAAATTTATCATTTTCCGATTAAGCATAATGCAGAAAGCAGCGATGTCACATTTGCTGGGGCGCCCTGCTGAGCTGTCAGATGACAGCAGGTGGTGGAGAAGGAAGAGAGGCCGCCATGAGTTTTTATAAGCACATCATTATTTTCCTTCTGTTAATTATAGCAGTTAAATAAAGATAGGTAAAGTTATACAAATATAAATAAAAAGGTTAGGGATTTGTAGTTTCTTTGTTTATTAAATGGCTTGCTGTTTATTTTATTTATTTTTTTATATTGATAAATGTGGAAGAACAAAGGAAACCTGTCCACATGTCCCCCCGCAACAGGGCCTCAGTTGATCTCCAACTCTGATTGGATGCGTCCTAAATTTGTTTAGCCAATCACGAGACACCACACTCTGACCAGCAATACCAGCTTCAATGATTGGCTGAAACGTTTGGCGCCTCTTGGATCCGCTGCAGCCGGAGTGGGCGGTGAGTGTGAGACAGTGAACAGTTTGAACCTGCTCTGCGTCGAGACGGAAATATTGAAGATAAAAACGCTTTTTAGTAAAGACGGAGTTAAATGACAACAGTATTTTCTCAAACACTAAGCAGTGTTGAAACCAAAGGTCCAAATAGAGGAGCAGCAACTGAAGCTTTTGTTGTTGTCTTCCGGTCGCTGTTGTGAAGCCGGCTGTCGCGCTTAGTATCGCTACCTCCTGCTGAGCTATATGCTAACTAGCAGCGGAGCTAACGCTTCCTTTGAGCTCCAACACAAAGGACCACTCCGCCGGCGTTCGTTTTTTTCACCTGGAGTCAATCCGTTGGACGAGACCAGAGTCTGCTGTCCAGGTGAGAAAAGCTGTCAGCCTCGATCCTCTTGTTTTCACCGCCTTTAATGCGGTTCAAAGGGCGAAGATAGCTGTTGGTGCTTTGTTAACTGATCAACTCTTGTTAGCTAGCTCACCGGGCTGCTCTTGTCAGATTTGTCAAGCATGTCACCATTAATCACATGAAACTGCACCAATTTACTTTACAGTTCAATTGTAGAAAGATACACTTTGATCAAAATATTCATTTAACAATGTGTAACATTGAAGTGATACACAATGAGATTAAAACACATTTCACTCCACACAATGCACGTTATCTGCAAGCTAAAGCTTCCTGTTTTGTTTTGAGGTCTGGATCGCTTTATTTGCTTTGGATGTTTTTTTCTTATCAGATAAGAAACAATGCAAGGAGAATAATTAGATATTTGATTAGATTTCAGGAAGAATTTGGATCTGAAGCTTTGATACAAGAAAAATTAAGCTGAGGATGTTTTATGTGCTAAAAATGTTACTTTACATGACAACGAAAGAAACTAAAGTTTCTCTTTTTTTCTTTGAATGACCTTTAAAGGTTATTAATTTTTCTTAGAATTCACCTTGGTAACAGCAGGGCTGCTTTATCAAACACTGCTCCTCATGTTCAAATCATCTGGTTCCTATCACCATACTTTAAAGAGTAGTAGTGCTGTGGGACCTCTAAAGTTGGTCTGAGGGAAAAACTCAGCTAAACAACTTCTCAAATGTATTAATATCTGGCTTGATTGGATCAGTCAGGGTAAATGTTGATGCCAGGTCTGAATGAGAGCTCCTGACAGCATGCTGCTGCTAAAGGCAAGACAGGTGATTAATCTGACCTTGGTTTTTCAGCTCTTTATGATAATTTATTAATAGGTAGCTTCCAGTCAGCTGGAGCTAATTAAGAGATCAGTTTTTTTCATTCTCTACTTGGATAATGTACTTTCAGCTGTGTGAGGCAGAGCGGATCTGTAAGCATCATGCATGTAAATCAGTTGTATTTCATCCTGCTGATGCGCTATAATAAAGCTTATAAAAATGATCAAATCTTGATTCCAGGTCATAATAATTATTCACAAAACCTCAGTAAAAATCTGCTTTGCATGTAATTCATAGAGATGTACCAATACATCTTTTTTATACCATTATTGCAGCTTTTAGAACTGACTGATACTGATATTAATACAATATTAGCAAGTCTCATACCTGCTTTTATGACTTATTTTTTACTTTAGAAAGTTAGAACAGGCTTGATATTACTAAAAGAGAGAATAGTCAACAGAAAAGGGTATGTCTGACTTTGTAAAATTACTGCTATGATGCACATTTTTCTTCTTTTGCACCCCCATTTGTTTACCAGAGCTCATGTTGGAAGTGAATTTCTTTGTTTTTAGATCAATAAAGTCTCCTGTCAGAATAACTGGCCCATGTAATGTTATCCAATGACTGACAGAAACTTAAAAGAAGCAGAGTTCATTCAGCATGAAAATATCAGAGCTTTTAGATGCAGGCTGATGTAAGATATTAGTTTTCTGGCTAAAATCAGAATGATATCAGCTAGCGGATCAGGACATCCCTCCCAGGTAAATAAATATGGTTGGTTTTGAGATAATTCTTTGGATGGAAAAAAAAGCATATTTTGCTTTAAAATAAGTGGCCAAAGCTACAAGTAAAGGACCAACATCCCTTATGTTAAAAATAAGTTCATATTTTGTTTGTGCTTTATTTTAAATTTCCTGGCAGAACTGGCATTATCTAAACTATTGTATTATCTTGTCAAGCCGAACTAGAATGAAGATTTCTCACCATAGATGTCGTATTTAGAGGATGTTGTGAGTGGGTGTTTACCATGTGTATCAAGTCTCTCAGTGTTAAACTGGACAAATGTACAATTAAGAAATCAGTGTCTTCTCTAATTGTTCGGTTTTCCTGCAACTGTTACCATGGAAACCGCTCAACATCTCCAGTCTTCCGCTCTATACCTGAACTTTAAAGTAAAAGCAGCTATGGAGCGCTGCAAACATTACTTATAGTTTCTTCTTCTTAACTTGTGCTCCATGTAAATCAGTCTCTGACTAATATGGCGCCCCAAAGTGCGGCGAAGCATCGGATAAGGTTGTGGATGTATGTGATGGATTGTAAGGTGGAACGGTTGCTCTCATAAAGATGACTGTCTGGACATGAAAGGTATACAGCCTGAGAATATTGTCCCCATAAATATTGAATTCTCTGTTAAGTAATACCGCTCAGTCTTTAAACTAATGCTCTTCAAAATGACATGCAATGTTTGTTTTTAATGCCTGATAATATAAAAGCATGATAAATAAAATTAGAAAAATCTAAATCTCTGAAAACAGCTAAGTTACCCCTCAGACCCTTTTTTTTTAATCAAAAAGTTTCTCAAAGTTCCCCAAAAAATGTGAAAACAATCCACTGGACTTTGTTTCTGCGTTTGAAGATGTTTCTCTTCCCATCCAGGAAGGTTTTTCAATTCAAAATGTCAGAAATGGCGTTTAGTTCCAGGTTTTATACAGTAGCCCAACAAAGCCTTGTTTTTGTTTTCTCAAAGTTGTCATTTTTGTAAAATGCAGCGGAGTCTCAACAAAGTAGCCAGGTGGCAGAGCGTGTCGGTCGCAAGTCCAGAAGGTGTGACCTGATTCTCATTTTCTAAGCTGACTAATAAAGCTTATAGAGGTGCAGGGAGGAAAAGTAATTTTACACTTCACAAAACTGAATGGCATTAATGGGAAAGAAAGGTTTCTTTACATTTTCATTAGAGTAGATCTCACAGATTCATTAAAGCTACAGTGTGTAATAATTACAGGGATATACAGTCAGAAATATAATATATTATACATACCTTTGTTATTTATCATCATCTACGAGCTCAGCCTCTTAACCTTAATATTTGTGTTGCCTTAGAATTCCTTATTTATAATTACATAGGAGCGGGTCTCGCAGCCATGGAGGCAGACATCTTTGCGCTACGGCAGCGCAGAGCCAACAAACTAGCGATTGTGAGATCGCCAAAAGGTCACAACGATGTAGAAAAAATAACGGGTATATTTACTATCTTAAGTCTACATGAAATCTATACCCTACACAGACTAATGAAATACTATCTGTAAAATTATCTATGTAAACAAACCTCATCACTTGAGAAGGTAGGTGATGCGGACGTCGTGGAAGACATTTTGTCCCGTAACGCTCGCCGTAATGTTGGAGGGGGAGAAGCGGTGGGGGGGAGATGTTCATGTTGCTGCGGTCTCTAATTGTTCGGTTTTCCTGCAACTGTTACCATGGAAACCGCTCAACATCTCCAGTCTTCCGCTCTATACCTGAACTTTAAAGTAAAAGCAGCTATGGAGCGCTGCAAACATTACTTATAGTTTCTTCTTCTTAACTTGTGCTCCATGTAAATCAGTCTCTGACTAATATGGCGCCCCAAAGTGCGGCGAAGCATCGGATAAGGTTGTGGATGTATGTGATGGATTGTAAGGTGGAACGGTTGCTCTCATAAAGATGACTGTCTGGACATGAAAGGTATACAGCCTGAGAATATTGTCCCCATAAATATTGAATTCTCTGTTAAGTAATACCGCTCAGTCTTTAAACTAATGCTCTTCAAAATGACATGCAATGTTTGTTTTTAATGCCTGATAATATAAAAGCATGATAAATAAAATTAGAAAAATCTAAATCTCTGAAAACAGCTAAGTTACCCCTCAGACCCTTTTTTTTTAATCAAAAAGTTTCTCAAAGTTCCCCAAAAAATGTGAAAACAATCCACTGGACTTTGTTTCTGCGTTTGAAGATGTTTCTCTTCCCATCCAGGAAGGTTTTTCAATTCAAAATGTCAGAAATGGCGTTTAGTTCCAGGTTTTATACAGTAGCCCAACAAAGCCTTGTTTTTGTTTTCTCAAAGTTGTCATTTTTGTAAAATGCAGCGGAGTCTCAACAAAGTAGCCAGGTGGCAGAGCGTGTCGGTCGCAAGTCCAGAAGGTGTGACCTGATTCTCATTTTCTAAGCTGACTAATAAAGCTTATAGAGGTGCAGGGAGGAAAAGTAATTTTACACTTCACAAAACTGAATGGCATTAATGGGAAAGAAAGGTTTCTTTACATTTTCATTAGAGTAGATCTCACAGATTCATTAAAGCTACAGTGTGTAATAATTACAGGGATATACAGTCAGAAATATAATATATTATACATACCTTTGTTATTTATCATCATCTACGAGCTCAGCCTCTTAACCTTAATATTTGTGTTGCCTTAGAATTCCTTATTTATAATTACATAGGAGCGGGTCTCGCAGCCATGGAGGCAGACATCTTTGCGCTACGGCAGCGCAGAGCCAACAAACTAGCGATTGTGAGATCGCCAAAAGGTCACAACGATGTAGAAAAAATAACGGGTATATTTACTATCTTAAGTCTACATGAAATCTATACCCTACACAGACTAATGAAATACTATCTGTAAAATTATCTATGTAAACAAACCTCATCACTTGAGAAGGTAGGTGATGCGGACGTCGTGGAAGACATTTTGTCCCGTAACGCTCGCCGTAATGTTGGAGGGGGAGAAGCGGTGGGGGGGAGATGTTCATGTTGCTGCGGTCTCTAATTGTTCGGTTTTCCTGCAACTGTTACCATGGAAACCGCTCAACATCTCCAGTCTTCCGCTCTATACCTGAACTTTAAAGTAAAAGCAGCTATGGAGCGCTGCAAACATTACTTATAGTTTCTTCTTCTTAACTTGTGCTCCATGTAAATCAGTCTCTGACTAATATGGCGCCCCAAAGTGCGGCGAAGCATCGGATAAGGTTGTGGATGTATGTGATGGATTGTAAGGTGGAACGGTTGCTCTCATAAAGATGACTGTCTGGACATGAAAGGTATACAGCCTGAGAATATTGTCCCCATAAATATTGAATTCTCTGTTAAGTAATACCGCTCAGTCTTTAAACTAATGCTCTTCAAAATGACATGCAATGTTTGTTTTTAATGCCTGATAATATAAAAGCATGATAAATAAAATTAGAAAAATCTAAATCTCTGAAAACAGCTAAGTTACCCCTCAGACCCTTTTTTTTTAATCAAAAAGTTTCTCAAAGTTCCCCAAAAAATGTGAAAACAATCCACTGGACTTTGTTTCTGCGTTTGAAGATGTTTCTCTTCCCATCCAGGAAGGTTTTTCAATTCAAAATGTCAGAAATGGCGTTTAGTTCCAGGTTTTATACAGTAGCCCAACAAAGCCTTGTTTTTGTTTTCTCAAAGTTGTCATTTTTGTAAAATGCAGCGGAGTCTCAACAAAGTAGCCAGGTGGCAGAGCGTGTCGGTCGCAAGTCCAGAAGGTGTGACCTGATTCTCATTTTCTAAGCTGACTAATAAAGCTTATAGAGGTGCAGGGAGGAAAAGTAATTTTACACTTCACAAAACTGAATGGCATTAATGGGAAAGAAAGGTTTCTTTACATTTTCATTAGAGTAGATCTCACAGATTCATTAAAGCTACAGTGTGTAATAATTACAGGGATATACAGTCAGAAATATAATATATTATACATACCTTTGTTATTTATCATCATCTACGAGCTCAGCCTCTTAACCTTAATATTTGTGTTGCCTTAGAATTCCTTATTTATAATTACATAGGAGCGGGTCTCGCAGCCATGGAGGCAGACATCTTTGCGCTACGGCAGCGCAGAGCCAACAAACTAGCGATTGTGAGATCGCCAAAAGGTCACAACGATGTAGAAAAAATAACGGGTATATTTACTATCTTAAGTCTACATGAAATCTATACCCTACACAGACTAATGAAATACTATCTGTAAAATTATCTATGTAAACAAACCTCATCACTTGAGAAGGTAGGTGATGCGGACGTCGTGGAAGACATTTTGTCCCGTAACGCTCGCCGTACTGTTGGAGGGGGAGAAGCGGTGGGGGGGAGATGTTCATGTTGCTGCGGTCTGCAGTCTGACCGCTAGATGTCACTAAAAGTTACACACTGTAGCTTTAAATAAAACCTAAAATATAGTCTATTTCCAAAACTTACGGTATGTTAGCTTAGTCAGAGAGCTGCTCAGTTCCCATTGGATTATTGATCCAATGTCATCAATAGACTGATCGTTTCTGAACGTTCCTCTAATCCCTTTCATCTCCATACAGCTTTTCTTTTTTGGTGCGTCCTGTTATGCCTTTATTTTTATTTTTTTTCTTATAGTCATTACACTCTCAGAAGTACAGAGCAATGAAATTTACCTCTGCATTTTAACCCATCCCCTTAGGGAGCAGTGGGCTGGCTTTGTGCGGCCCCCATGGACCCCTGCTCAGGGACCCAGATTGGCAGTCTGTGGGAGTGGGTTTCAAACACACAACCTCATGATTCCAAACCCTATGCCCTAACCACTAGGCCACCATTCCCAGTATAGATGATAGCCCTAGCCATTATGGTTGTTACATTTTAAAATTTTAGTTTTATTAATCCAATAACAAAAGGGCCCCTATAGACAATTTTATACGACTTTAAACCAAGTAAAGCTAAAACTCCAAAACTAAAGTTCTGGATAGATCATATTCAGACTGAATTTGTTTTCTCATTTTAACTGCAAAATTTTTACAAAGGGCTGAGCGATTCATTTTTTTGTTTATGGAGACTACATTTTTGGGAAATCAACATTTTTCTTTCCCACTGATCCACTCCCTGGGCTTCCTCAGCTCAGAGCGACATCAGTTCGTCGCTTCTTGTTCTGCGACGTCTCCTCATAACTGATAAGTAGCTGACTGTGTGATTCCCACCTGCTGCTAACATTTAGTTTGTTTAAAACGTTGTTTTACTGCTTGAATTTCCTTGCCATTTAAAATTAACATCACCTCCCAGAGGTGATTATTAAAATCAAAGCTAGTTTGTAAAAGCAATATTTGTCATTTTTATTCTGAAACTTAAGTGAGAAAAAAAACAAATAACTGGATTTGGTAAGAAAAAAACCACTTAGAAATAGGACCCAGCCCTGTATATGTATCCTTTTACTCTCTGCTCTAATGTTTCAATCTGTGTGCAGGGCGATCATGGTGCTGACAGGGAAGCGTTCAGACAAGGGTCCAGCCTGCTGGAAGAGGAGGGTAAAGTCTGAGTACATGAAGCTGCGGCAGCAGAAACGCTTCAGACGGGCCGATGAGGTCAAGGTTGGTCCACAGATCTCTGACGCGTAGAAACATCCAGAAAAGTCCAACTGGAGCGAACTGTAAATGTATTTCCTGTTCCAGAGCATGTTCAACTCCAACCGCCAGAAAATCTTGGAGCGCACAGATATTTTGAATCAGGAGTGGAAGACCAGACGGATCCAGCCGATTCACATCATGACGTCCGTCAGCTCTCTGCGTGGAACCAGAGAGGTGAGCTGATGTTCCATCCATTCATCTCCTGATTCTGCTGAGAAACGTCCTGACTGGACGTCTCCTCTCCCCTCAGTGCACGGTGGAAAGCGGCTTCTCAGAGTTCCCCCGGCAGGTGATCCCTCTGAAGACCCTGAACGCTGTAGCCTCGGTTCCTGTCATGTACTCCTGGTCTCCTCTGCAGCAGAACTTCATGGTCTGTGGAACCTTGGAGCAGCTTCCTGTTAAGAGCCATAAAGCTTCACTGGAACGTGTTATAGAAAAACATCAGCTCCCAGTCAGTGTGCCTCTTCTGTTCCTGCAGGTGGAGGACGAGACGGTGCTGCACAACATTCCCTACATGGGGGACGAGATTCTGGACCAGGACGGGACTTTCATAGAAGAACTCATCAAGAACTACGACGGCAAAGTCCACGGAGACAGAGGTGAGGGAGCTGAGAAGAGACTGACATTTTTTTGGGAATCCCACGGGTCACGGGATTCCCGTGGGATTCCCTTGGGATGGGAGTCAGTATTAGTAATGATCACGTGATTGGGACGGTACAGGATTAAACATTAACGGGAGCAGACGGGAGCAGGAGCAAACCAATAGTAACAAAAAAAAACTAGGATCGATGCCAAAAAATAAAATAGAAAGAAAAAAATCCAGTACTGGCGCCGCCATTTTGTAGTTTTTTTCCTTGAAGCCTACACTATAATGCGAGCCAAAAAAACTACACAACCCAAAAACCAACAGTGCTTCCGCTCTGAGTTTTTCACCCGCGCTCAAAAACGACAAGAATGGGAGTGGCGCAGGAGCGGGAGTCATTCTGAATGGGAGTGGGAGTAATTTCACCAGGAGTGGGACGGGACAGGATTTAGATTTCTACTCTGGCCTGGGATCGGGACGGGACACCATTTTTTTCTGTGGGAGTGGGACGGGACAGGAGTGAAAATCCACTCCCGTGTCAGTCTCTAGAGCTGAGCGTGGTGGCTGGCTCAGGGAGGGACGTCTCTTATTTGAACAGCTGGAAATGTAGAAGAGCCAATCGGTTCTTAAGGCCTAGTTATCCTCCTGCAACAGTGAGCTTGTTGCAGATATGATGCAGATATTTTGGATTTATGCCCAATTTTTGAAGTGTGGTCTGCACTATGTTATTCCACGCCGCAACACAAGAGGGACAGGAACTAGCCAGGATTGTGGGTGTGGTGGGTGGCGTGTTTCTCTTCCGAGGTCATTCAACAGCTGATCTGCATCAAGACAAGCAGATCTTAATTACCGACACAGTAAAGTATGACGGGTTAATGAAAACGACTTTGGCATCATGCTTGGGGGGGGGTCACTTTGGTCACTTTTCTGGTCACTTTAGTTTATTCTTTGTCAGTATTTAATAACATAAGTCAGGTCTCTTAAGTTATTTTTCTTTAAAACAATTCTGTTATGGTTAAAAAAGTTGGTTAAATAAAGATTTAATTAGAAGTCTGTGTTTGTGTTCTTTATTAAAATTAAATCCTTTAGCAATATCATAAAAAGTCCAGGCAGAGCTGCACATAAAATATGGTTTCAAATTTTTTCAATAAATATCGATAACGATCAATATGCATTTTCTTTTATCGATAAGCTTTTTTTCTATATCGCCCACATCAGTCACATCATTAAACCAAATGCCAAATTCCTGTCACAACTCCAGTCCGGCGCACGGATGACATCATACACACGCCGCTTTGTGTTTTAAAAAATATAACGGCGGATGTCTGGGGGCCTACATGTTCTGAATGCTGGCGTACCTTAAAGAATAAATTATGAACATTTTAGTTTGTGCCTTCAAGTCGTTGCCCATAGGAAGACATTACTTGGATCTGAATATCTTCAGAACGGCTCCAAATGACACAAAACTCATATGGGTGAGTAGAACATGATGGAATAACGTAAAATCAAGGGACCAATGTAAAAGAAACTGTGTTCCCCTTTAAGAGGACTGGATGGAACCTACTGTCCCCAGAAGGAGCTCTCACTCCCAGCTGTTTGTTTTTACCTCGCTTTAAATAACCTCTCCATATATTAAATGGCTATAAACCAGGACTTAATTTTAATGTAATCTTAACTGTATAGAAGCGATGGCTCAGATTACGGTGCTGAGCTCCTGTTGAAACGGACCTCAGCCTCAGCACCACTTTCTCTGCGTCGCTTCTCTCTCAGACAAAGTGTCCGTCTGGACTTTGTTTCTTGTATGTTTTTTTGTAAAGCAAAGAGGCAAACTAGTCTAACACTATGACATTGTGGGTAATGAAGGCCTTTGTTATAAGAAATGTAGGAATGGGACAGCTGAACTATGGAAACGTGTGTGCAGAATCAACAGTATGTGGACACTTTAATCCTTCATAATCTAAAAATGTTACAAACAAAACGAGGTTTTAAGGCAGAAAAGATGCAATGTTGAAAGTCTGAAGCTGCCTGTTGTTTTGTCCTCTGAGCGTTTTCTTCCATTCCTTTTTATCCATTTTAAAAGATGGAAGGAAGGTGTTTGGTCTGGACATGTCATCGTTCAGCTTCTCAGACACCATGGCGACCAAACAGGCCGACAGCAAATATCAGTGTTTGTAGATGTCTGGGAAAATGCTGCGGGATGATCACTGCTGTGACAAATTATTATTTTCCAGCCATGAGCCCTTCTACAGATATAGAAGTTTTTTTTCTCCTTAGGCTTAAAATTAACAATCAGAGTTACTGTAAAGAAATTGATTTAAATCAGAACATCCAGTAAAATTACAAACATTATGTATAATTAAGATTTATATATTTACACTGTATTCATATTTGATTATGTCTGAGAATGGATGAGAAGAAGAGAACTTATTTAATCAGACCTTTTTTATGTTTAGTTGTGAACATAATCGCTCATCCTGATTATCAGAAGCTGCTCATTGTTTGCATGATGGGGGGGGAAATCAGCTGATGTTCAGAAACATGTTTTACTGTAAACAATGAAGAGTTTGAATGTCAATCCGAAATTTTTTAGAGCTGTTGGACATGGACGTTATTATAACCATAGTTTCTGAGTTTCAATGGTTTTTATCATCCGGCCCCTACAGCAGTGGGTGATCATCAATGAGTTTTTAAAGTCATATTTAAATGTCAAATCATTCTGCCTTAAACATGTATATAAATATACTCTTTATCAGATGGTATTGTCACAAAATGTAGAAAATTTCTATAAAAAAAAAAAAATCCTGTCCTAAAATCTGCGGGGGGGTTTTTCGCTATCTTATGCCAGTTAGTTATTCGTCAGCCTGAACACCTAAATTCGGCCAATCATATATCAACGTTCATCTGTCAATCAAATGTTTTCAGTCATAGCATCTTGATTCATATGTCGCAGCTAATATACGCAATGGTTAAAATCAGAATAATTTCATTTCCCATTGAGCACTGGGACGGACGTCTGTGTCTTCGGCAGGCGTAGAGCTAGGCAAGTTGCGAGGCAAGGGCTCAAACATGTACGGCTGGAAGCCTTCTACACCAAACCAAGCTTCTGCCGCCCTGGCGTCCTCTTTCACAACATCTTTGTCCCCGCTTTCCTCCTCCAAATAAAAAATGTATGATGGAGGAGACTCATCCACGACCTCTGACACTAAACTCTCCTCCTCTTGCATGTTTCCTCTGTCCATAGCGTTCCTTGACAGCGTCGTTTCTAAGTCACCAATTTAGTGCTACTTGGTCCCAATGGAATTTCCCATTGGGAACCTGCTAGCACTAAGTTGCTAACTGGTTAGCAAGATGCTTCCGAGAAACCGGCCACAACCAAACTTGCTTGTGAACCTTCAGCCACAACAATCCCGCCCCCTTGATAATCGACCAATCACATTCACTGTATTCACTGGTGTAAAGTCGGACACCACTCAGGAGAATTCAGAAATGCAACCGTTGGAACAGCCGCTTCCCTACGACTTCAAAATGATTTCCTGATAGAATCAGCTTCAGTATTTTTTTTTTTAAACTTCATCCTTCGGATCTAATCCTCCTGGTGCTTCTCACTCCAGTCACTGGATCCTGCTAAAACCCAGTTAATAAAACATTATTGCTTCTGTGCCTTTGAAACCAAACTGTCTGTTTTCCGTCTGAAAGAATAAAACCAAACTTCCAACCTCGGAAAATATGAGCATTTTTTCCCCTTCCTTTTGAGTTTTAATGCTGATTGATTTATTTACTGCTTTGCTCAATGTTGTATAAAACATGAATATGTGATAGGAATTGATAAACCCTCCACTGCTTAGAAATGTTGAAGGGCTGATGTGGAGAAAAGGAGGAAAAAACGAGTCCAAACAGAGTTAGTTTCCATCCTGATGGCTTCTCTGAGGCTCCAACAGTTTGAAGATGAAGATTCAAATGGAGCCGAAGTGAAGCGACAGAACCAAACCTGCTCCTTTTGTTGGTTTTCAGAGTGCGGCTTCATCAACGACGAGATCTTTGTGGAGTTGGTCAACTCTATGGTTCAGTACAGCGACAACGAGGACGATGAGGAGGAGGAAGAACAAGACCTTAAGGTGGAGAAGATGGAGACGTGCGATGGCGGCGACCAGCCGGAGGACGGCAGCAAGGAGAAAGACGTCAGCAGTGAAGGTACGTCCAGAGCAGAGGAGTTCTGATCCAATTACACAGAACATTAAAATACGCAAGATCAAAATGTTTCGTTTTTTTCTAAATGTTTCTTAGCAGAACAAAGAGTTCTGGATGTTATGGTTACAGATACATTGTTCAATAACTGGAAGCTTTGGTTTCCATCCAGAAGTTTCTGTAAATTAGGAGACTTAAGCAGAAATCTGTGGTTCAATAACAATTAAATCCTAATAATTGTTGTTTGTCGCCTCCAGGCCGAAGCAACAACGACACGAGCAAGAAGTTTCCTTCAGACAAGATTTTTGAGGCCATCTCCTCCATGTTCCCCGACAAGGGCTCCACCGAGGAGCTGAAGGAGAAGTTAGTGCTTCTGTTTGTGTTTCAGCTGCTGATCCGATCACATGACAGGACCTGGAGGAAGACGGATGATCATTCCTACTCACTAATTATACCATCCATTCATCCTCCATCCATAATTATAAACCTTATCCAGACATAAGCCTGAACTTGAAGGCTCTTCTTCCAAGTATATGAGGAAAGATTATCCCACCTGACAGACTGAAACATGTTCTCCATTTGGTAATAATATTCTGAGCTTTTAACTTTAAAGGTCCTAAAAACTAAACGAGAAGCAACAGACAAACATAATAGAAAGTGAAAACATACTAGTTAATATTTTAGGCAAAACAAACATACTATTAGTTGAAAAGGAATGAAAGTGAAAGACATTCTAAATATTTAGTACATTTTTCCAATGGGATTGTCTTTCTCTTTGTTAAAAAATGTTAGAGCAGGTTGCAAGTTAGAGCCTCGATTTTTATCAGGGTTTAGAAAAAATGTGAGGAATTGGTTTGAATGGAAATAAACTTTAATATGAACTACTTAGGTTTTTTGTGGTTGGTTGTGTGAGAATGTTTTACTGCCTGACATCTGCTAAAACGCTGAACTTTCTATGTATGGTTTCAATTGGGCGTATTCATAACCAGTTCAAAACTTATGTCCAATGACAAAAATCTTATTTCAAGTTTATAATATCCAATAAAATTCTCATTCCCTTGGCGGATCATTTTACTCTTATTTTAAGATCCGTTCATAGCATTTTTTTTTTTTTTTTGCTTAAGTTTTAATTAAATATTAAAACCTTTTTCTTTTCCCTTAAAATAAACACAATTCTTAATACAAATAATGTTTAAGATTTCTTTTTTACTTCAATATCAAACCTTTAAAAACAGAATTTATTTTATACATTTATTTAAATAAGTTCTTTTTACACAATTATATAGTAAAATAGTTTTTTTTTTTTACATTCATAGAGATATTTGCTCTGTGTTGTAATAAAAGGAGCAATAAAATGTTTTTACGTGTAGAAAAAGCTGCATAGATGCTGAGTTTGATCCTCCTCAAAGATCAGGTCATATTAGAATCTTTGGCTCATGACTTGATTCAAGTTTTTACCCTGATGTTTGTTTGAGCTCGAGTTGAAGCTTTTTTATGTCTTTAATTTTAGGTATAAGGAGCTGACCGAGCAGCAGCTGCCCGGCGCCCTGCCGCCTGAGTGCACGCCGAACATCGACGGACCGAACGCCCGCTCAGTGCAGAGAGAGCAGAGCCTGCACTCCTTCCACACCCTGTTCTGCAGACGCTGCTTCAAGTACGACTGCTTCCTTCACCGTGAGTTCACGCCGACACGCCCAGAACGCTCACAGCTGTTTAGGGTTTCACTAACATAACAGAAACCTCTGGGTTCTACTGAAAAGATCCGATTCCTCATCTGTTTCCGTTATTTCAGCTTTCCATGCTACTCCAAACACCTACAAGCGCAAGAACCTGGAGAACCGGTGGGACACGGACAAACCCTGCGAGCTGGACTGCTACAGGAAGCTGATGGATGTGAGGCGTCCTCGTCCGATCAGGCCCCCAGGTTCACTCACAGGACCAAGAGTCCCTCACAGGTTGGTCATTAAAACAATGTTTGATCTTCCAGGACGGGATGCAGAGGGAGAGTTCTGCAGGCGCCGTCGCCGATCGCCCCAAAACCCCTTCCAAACGGACGGCCGGGCGGCGCCGCGGACGACAACCCAACAGCAACGGGAACAGCCGGCCCAGCACCCCCACGGTCTCCTCGGAAACCAAAGACACAGACAGCGACCGCGATTGGAGCAAAGACGACGAGCGGGACAACGAGAAGGACGACAAGGACGAGACCAACAGCAGCTCAGGTACCGCCTGGTGTTTTCCTTTAGGGCCGAGACCCGACCCCATGCAGCTGATGGTCCAGGTGGAGCAGGAAACTTTTATTTCTAACAAAACCTTTAATCTGGGACAGTTCTGGTTCCCAGTGTTGAATAGACGCAGCTCCACCCGTCAGGTTATTGTTTGATGGTAGAGCTGCTCCATCTAGGAACCGGTTTCTACCGAAGGCTCCAGAGTTTTACCACATGAGGGTTTAGATTAGACACGTTTCCTGCATTCTTAACAGAATAAAGTAATTCAGAGTAAATCCTTTATTGATTACTGTGCAACAAAACCTCAGGGTTTAAAAGTTCACAGCTCACGCTGTTTGTTCTCTCACTGTGCGACCCAACGCTCTGATGCGATCTACCTGCTCACTCTGTACGTCTAAAAACCTCAGAAGAATCAGAATTCTTTATTGTCATTGCTCCACAGGGGTGCAACGAAATTACTTGAAAAAGAAAAAAACACAGTACAAGCAATCAGTGCAAATTTAAAAATATAAAATAAAAAAATAAAATTAAATAAATAAATACGAAAACCTTGTGGGTTTATGAGATTTTATTTACTCGTCATGTATTGCTTTTTCCACCTCCATGTCTGTTTAGAGTTAAAGCGTCTAGGTTTTAGATCCTTTCCCCTCGCTGCTCTGTTGATGTGTCTGACTTCCTCTAACGAGCTGCAGGTTTAATCCCCATTATTCTGGCGTCTCTCCGTCAGCTTTGATGCGTACAGGTAGCCTTGTTTTTTCCGACCATGCAGCGTAACAGAAGAGGTCTGTTGTCGGATTCAATCAGTTTCTAAGTTGCGGCGGCGGGTTAAATGTTGGGTTTCTGCGCCTGCAGAGGGGAACTCCAGGTGTCAGACTCCAATCAAGATGAAGCTGAACTACGAGCCCGAAGCCGTGGAGTGGAGCGGCGCCGAGGCGTCCCTGTTCAGGGTGCTCATCGGGACTTACTACGATAACTTCTGCTCCATCGCTCGGCTCATCGGCACCAAGACCTGCAGACAGGTGAGCCGACGCAAACCGGTTCCAGCTGGTTTAGAATCCTGAGATGTTTCAGGATTCGGACCAATCGGTTTCTTCTGTTTCTCCTCCTTCAGGTTTACGAATTCAGAGTCAAAGAGTCGGCCATCATCGCTCGAGCGCCGGCTGAAAACGAAGACACGCCTCCGAGGAAGAAGAAGAGGAAGCACCGACTGTGGGCCACCCACTGCAGGAAGATCCAGCTGAAGAAAGGTCCTTCATGACGTTCTAAGCAAACGGGTTGAACAGAACCTTATCAGTGGATCTTCAGCTGCTATTGTCCGGTTCTTAAACTGATTGTTCCTGCAGACGGATCGTCCAATCACGTCTACAACTACCAGCCATGTGACCACCCCCGGCAGCCCTGTGACTCCTCCTGTCCCTGCGTCACCGCTCAGAACTTCTGCGAGAAGTTCTGCCAGTGCAGCTCAGAGTGTAGGAACCCACACACAGGTTCTGCTGACCCAGAAAAAGGTTCCGCTTCAGATCTAAGCCTCTGTCCTCCGCAGGTCAGAACCGTTTCCCTGGTTGTCGCTGCAAAGCCCAGTGCAACACCAAGCAGTGTCCCTGCTACCTGGCCGTGAGGGAGTGTGACCCGGATCTGTGCGGGACCTGCGGCGCCTCGGACCACTGGGACAGCAAGAACGTGTCCTGCAAGAACTGCTCCATCCAGAGGGGAGCCAAGAAGGTGGGGCGGAGTTCTGAACAGGTTCTGGTCGGTTTAAGCCTCTAAGCAAACATCTAACGATTGTTTGGGTTCCAGCACCTGCTGCTGGCGCCGTCCGACGTGGCCGGGTGGGGCATCTTCATCAAGGAGCCGGTCCAGAAGAACGAGTTTATCTCGGAGTACTGTGGGGAGGTGAGTGAGACCCGGTTCTGTTCACACTCAACGCTGAGTTCACAGATTCCTGCAGGTGAAAACCTGCAACACTTTGGCCCCGTCCACACGAAGCCGAACCCTGGCCTAAACGCACACATTTTTCACCAAACCAGCCTCTCATCCATACTAAGCCGGCGTTTCGGGGTCTGTAAACGATCTTTTTTTTATTCAGCCTTCAGAGTGGGAAGATTTTGAAACGCCGTTTTCGCGTTTCCTTCTTTAAGCTCTAACCGCATTTTTTTTTTTTTTTTACACGCATGCATCATAGCGTCGCCTCTAAACACGCATGCGCGACACAGTATCACAACAACAATGGCGCGTACTGTGTTGAATGGTTGCTGCTCATGCTACTCACCCTGCTGTCGGGCTTACAACAGAATCTTCTTCTTCTGGAATATCTCCAGGAAGAACAGAGCAATATAGACGACATAGTTCAGCACCTGAATTTGACTGAACCACGAAAATGGACCCGCAGGGCAACCATGTATAAATATTAGTGCGCATGCCCAACATTTGTCGCCTATTTTTGCTTTGGCACCACAGCGCCACTTACAGGCCTGGCATACATTTTGCAGCGTTTTCATGCATTCGTGTGGACGATCACATTTATTTTACGTCTTTACGACAAATGTTCTGGAAAATATTAGCGTTTCGTGTTCGTTTTGACTTCGTGTGGACGGGGCCTAAATCAGAGCAGAACCGTCACTGGGAGGAGAGATTCTGCCTGGAAAACCCAATTAGACCCGAGATCCACTATGAAACGGAAGCACAACACAGAGAAAAGTTTTTCCCTTTTAAAGCAGAGGTCATGGATTAGCGGACTGCTGTCTGGACCCACCTGCTGGCTAATCCAGACCCAACCTGATTTAAAACATTTAGAAATCACCACGTTGTCTGACGACAGTGTCTGATTTCACTTGCGCCGCTTCTCTTGTTAATACGGTAAAGCCCTCCAGGCTACACGTGATCCAATGAGCTGCTGTCAGTCTGGGTTGCTGCTGCTGCTACTTTTAGACACAGCAGGCAAACCTGTGGCAAGCCGGGCGATGGGAAAGAAGGAGAAGATGATGAGAAAAAGAGAGCAGAGAAAGTGTGGACTGCTGGAAGAACTGTGGTGAACTGGTGAAAGAAAAGTGAAATGGTGCTCAAAGATGATCCTGAACATTTAGAGGATGTTTGGCTCAACCTGCTGCTGTGAAGCAGGATTCTCCACCATGAACAGAATCAAAAATAAATATCAATGGCTTTGTCTCCGTTCAAACCAGGTTTAAAGCCTTGCAGGGCAGCATAAAGCCCACTGCCAACATTAAAACAGAAAATAGAACAAAAAAAAATTATAAAATCTGTGAATCAGGAAATTGTCTATATACCAAACTGAACAATTATTGTTCTCTACTGCAAAAAACACTTTAGATTTTAAAAGGAAGAAACATTCTACTTTTTTTCAAATATTTTTTAATTAAAGGTTCAATTTTTTAAATATTTTTTTAATTAAAGGTTTAATGTATAACACCTGCTTTTTATTTCAGTGTTAAATTCTGTTTAAGTAACAGATTATACTTAAAAATCCGGATCTTTCTTTATTCGGACGCGGCTGTTTTTTAATCGGTTCCTCCTGGTATAAACCATCCGTCCTTTTCTCCGCATCATCAGATCTCAGCGTCTCTTTCCTCATTTAAATCTCAGCAGGAGATTTGATCCAAACTTGTAATGAAAGTGTCAGAACATTGTGGACCGAGGTTCTGCCCCCCGCTTCTTTTTCTGAGGTTTTTATGAGATATTTTTTTTTCTCCCTGCAGATAATCTCTCAGGATGAAGCAGACCGCAGAGGGAAAGTCTACGATAAATACATGTGCAGCTTCCTGTTCAACCTCAACAACGGTAGGAACCTGCAGAACCAGCGGGTCGGTACCATCAATCTACAGTCCACTCTAGCTTCACAGTTGATCTTTCTTTCTCTCTGCAGACTTTGTCGTCGACGCCACGAGGAAAGGCAACAAGATCCGCTTCGCTAATCACTCTGTGAACCCAAACTGCTATGCAAAAGGTAGGAGCATGTGATCAGCGGGCTGTTTGAAGGGCTGGTTCTGTTCTAACTCCGACCCGTTCTCTGCAGTGATGATGGTCAACGGGGATCACAGGATCGGGATCTTTGCAAAAAGGGCCATCCACACCGGAGAGGAGCTCTTCTTTGATTACAGGTCAGTCAGAGACCCGCAGAGTCCGACCCAAAACACTCAGAACTTTCTGGGTTTCTCTGATTATTGCTCATCATCTGAACCCAAACAGGCATTTGATCACATCGTTTTCCTTTAGTCTGTAGAATAAAACTGTAAAATAGTTTAAAATGTTCTACTACCCCTTATTTAAACGATCATGAACAGAATAAATCCAGGTGCTCTGATTCAGCTGCAGGTTGCAGGAGATTAAAACCACAGCATTAGCATAAAGTTTGCTAAATAATCAGCAGTTATTTTAGATCTGGATCAAATTCAGGTTGTTTTTTATTGATAAATAAATGAGAAGTCAGACCAAGATGAGAAATTAGTGGTGGGCATAGATTAATTTCTTTAATCTAGATTAAAATGATTCATTTGAATTCTGTCAAAGAGCTTCCTGAATCATAATCAGTTCCTTTTTTTAATCCCTTGCTGGAATTTTTTTTTTCCAGCAGTGCAATTGTTTACAGAATAGAGAAAAATAAGATTGTAAATACAAAATATAAGAATAAAATAAGGATGACGTGTGGCTACCTAAATAAATAAATAAGTAAATATATAAAAGTAAGTCTTTGAACAGGTTTCTCAATCCGGGTGACAAACTGCTAGAAAAAGCTTTCCTACTATGATAACTGGTGATGAAAATAAATAAATAAATAATAATAAGATGTATTTCTGTTTAATAAGTTTTTATTCAGATAAACATGAATACTGAGCTGCAGGCCTACATAATGGGCCCTGATGAACTGTTTACAGCTTTGTGTCAGTTAGTCCAAACTCTATTTCTCCTTTTTCCATCAGTCACTCAGTCGTTGTAATTTCCTGTGAGGCTGGAGGAGCAGCAAGGGCTGCTGGGTAATATCAGAATGAGGAAATCGTCACCATTTTATCCTAGTTTTGTGTGAAAGAGGATTGTTTATATTGGTAGTCTGTTCATGCTAAGCTAACATTATGTTCTGGAGGTTGAAGCTGTAAGTGTGAACATTTGCACCATCAGAGGAATGTTTCACCAGCTGCGTATAACAGAAGAAGTATTTTCTGGTATTTTGCATTCTATAAACAAAGAGCGTCGCTGCTTCAGCCTGAGTTACTTGTTATTAAACATGCTACAATATCAAGGAGAAAGTCATCATCAGTATAGACCAGACATGGGCATACTACGGCCCCCGGGCCGTATACGGCCCGTTAGGCTTTTTAATCCGGCCCGCCGAACTTGTCCAAATTACCCTATTTTCACTTTTACTGTAAGGCGCACATAAACGTCTTTTTTTTTTTTTTTTTTTTCCTCAAAATGTGCGGTGCGCCCTATGTGTGTTGTAACTGCGACTTTTGAGACCACCATGCACCATGCAGAACTCCTCATCTCCTCATTGAGGAGATGATGAAAGCGTGGCTGAGGGAGGTGAATGTACAGGTGCTGGTCATAAAATTAGAATATCATGAAAAAGTAGATTGATTTCAGTAATTCCATTTAAAAAGTGAAACTTGTATATTATATTCATACATTACATACAAACTCATATATTTCAGATGTTTATTTTGTTTAATTTTGATGATTACAAATGACAACAAATGAAAATCTCAAATTCATCATATCAGAAAATTAGAATATTGTGAAAAGGTTCAAAATTGATGGCCCCTGGTGCCACACTCTAATCAGCTAATTAACTCAAACCACCTGCAAAAGCCTTTAAATGGTCTTTCAGTCTAGTTCTATAGGCTACACAATCATGGGGAAGACTGCTGACTTGACAGTTGTCCAAAAGACGACCATCGACACCTTGCACAAGGAGGGCAAGACACAAAAGGTCATCGCTAAAGAGGCTGGCTGTTCACAGAGCTCAGTGTCCAAGCACATTAATAGAGAGGCGAAGGGAAGGAAAAGATGTGGTCGAAAAAAGTGTACAAGCAAGAGAGATAACCGCACCCTGGAGAGGATTGTGAAACAAAACCCCTTCAAAAATGTGGGGGAGATTCACAAAGAGTGGACTGCAGCTGGAGTGAGTGCTTCAAGAACCACCACACACAGACGTATGAAAGACATGGGTTTCTGCTGTCGCATTCCTTGTGTCAAGCCACTCTTGAACCACAGACAGCGTCAGAAGCGTCTTGCCTGGGCTAAAGAAAAACAGGACTGGACTGCTGGTGAGTGGTCCAAAGTCATGTTCTCTGATGAAAGTAAATTTTGCATTTCCTTTGGAAATCAAGGTCCCAGAGTCTGGAGGAAAAGAAGAGAGGCACTTCATCCACGTTGCTTGAAGTCCAGTGTAAAGTTTCCACAGTCAGTGATGGTTTGGGGTGCCATGTCATCTGCTGGTGTTGGTCCATTGTGTTTTCTGAGGTCCAGGGTCAACGCAGCCACATACCAGGAAGTTTTAGAGCACTTCATGCTTCCTGCAGCTGACCAACTTTTTGGAGATGCAGATTTCATTTTCCAACAGGACTTGGCACCTGCACACAGTGCCAAAGCTACCAGTACCTGGTTGAAGGACCATGGTATCCCTGTTCTTAATTGGCCAGCAAACTCTCCTGACCTTAACCCCATAGAAAATCTATGGGGTATTGTGAAGAAGAAGATGCAATACACCAGACCCAACAATTCAGAAGAGCTAAAAGCCACTATTAGAGCAACCTGGGCTATCATAACACCTGAGCAGTGCCACAGACTGATCGACTCCATGCCACGCCGCATTGCTGCAGTAATACAGGCCAAAGGAGGCCCAACTAAATACTGAATGCTGTACATGCTCATACTTTTCATGTTCATACTTTCCAGTTGGCCAACATTTCTATAAATCCTTTGTTTTTATTGGTCTTCAGTAATATTCTAATTTTCTGATATGATGAATTTGAGATTTTCATTTGTTGTCATTTGTAATCATCAAAATTAAACAAAATAAACATCTGAAATATATGAGTTTGTATGTAATGTATGAATATAATATACAAGTTTCACTTTTTAAATGGAATTACTGAAATCAATCTACTTTTTCATGATATTCTAATTTTATGACCAGCACCTGTAAGGAGACCAGGTGTTTTTTTCCCACTCATCACCATCTCTGGTAATCTGTGACTCCATGCGTGCCCATCTCACAGCTGATGTGAAAAACAAGGTGAAACAAATTAACGCTGTGCTCGCTGTTATTCAACCGCTCGACATCGATGCGCTTCGGGAGCGCGCCGCCAACGCGCTGCTGCTGCTCGAGATGGAAAAATTGAAGTTTTGCTGCTGGAAGCGCCGCATCAACCAATCAGAGAAGCAGATCTGGGAGCTCACAGCGAGGCAGGTGTATGAGGAGGACCAGGCGTTTTTTTCCACGCATCACCATCGCTGTTAATCTGTGACTGAATGAACGCTGTGCTCGCCGTTATCCTGGGAGGTCTGACAAAGGAACTTCAACCGCTCGACATCGGTGTGAAGAGGTCTTGTGAGAAATTCTGTTTCCCCGGGAAAATCTGTTCCCCCTGTGTCGGGAGCGCGCATTGCAGCCAGAGAGGCGGATCTGCCCATTCTCAAGGCGCTCCTGATCATTTTTCGGTAAAAACAGCTCATATAATCATCTCAACTTTGTAACATCCATTTTAATCGGTTGCTCTTTTTAAGAAATTGTAAAATAAATACATTAACGAGGTCCTCACGCTGTTTTGTGTTTTTTTAAACGCCAAGAGAATCGGTATTTCTCCAACTTTTGTCCCTTCAGCCTGACAGAAATAAACATCAGTCACCTACACAACAACACGTAGTGTATTTTTAATTTTTCATTGCTGATATAAGAGGATGGAAACTGGCTGATAGCAGGGCACACAAATTAAGACGTCCTGCGAAGATGAGAGTAGAATTTCTGGTTAATCACCTTCTAATGTAAAATATGACAGATTACTGGATTAAGGACATTTATAGTATACCACATCACACATATCAATTTTAGAGAAATTAGAAACAGTTGCTCTTTATTTCCCAAAGATATGGGAGGAGGAGAGGAGATAATGGATGTTTCAGCTTACTGAAATAATCTGTTCCCCCTCCATAACAGGGGAAGGAATTAATTTACCTGCAAGTCTTTAACTGTGCTTATTCCACTCACCACCGAGAACAAATCCTGTGGATTTGGTCATATTTTATTTGCAAAAATTAAAGGGGGGGAACCATATATTTCAGCTGCCTGAAATAATCTGTTCCCCCTCCATAGGGGGCCTCTGGACCGGGTCTCCTCCGCGTTCACCCAGTGGCTGGCAGGTGTTTTTTCATCTAAATAATCTAAATCTTGCAGCTATATTTGATGTGATCAGTGGGAATAAAGTAGTTTTAATATGTTTTTAAGTGAGAAAGTCCACCTGAAAACTTAATAATTGCAGTCAGTTCATCCAGATTATCATCATGCCTATATCTGTCGGAGGCGCTCAGACCCCCACATACCAGCGGTACACCGACAGTAGGAACCCCTTCAACAGCAGCCTCTAGGCCGGGCAGCCTCCGGGTTAACCGCGGTGGCTGGCAGGCGTTTTTCATCTACATAATTTAAACTGCAGGCACCAGGATACCAGCAAAAAAGCGAACATATTCCGTCGGCAGGTTTCAGGATTTTAAGTTAATTTAGGAGTGATCACAGCGCTCTGTGTCATCAGCAACGTGTCTGTCTCAAGGCCAGCACGTAGGTTTGATTAATACTTTGTAATAAATAAATGAATAAAGCACAATCATACTCAGTTTTGCCCCCGCTGTATTTTTAAATACGCAGTAGAGGTATCTAAAAGTAGTAGAGGACATGTACCTGTATATAAGAAAACCCTATAGTCCGGTGCGCCTTATGTGTGTGTTAAATACAGAAATGGCACACATAACTGAGACTGCGCCTTTTAGTACGGTGCGCCTTATGGTCGTGAAAATTGTCTGTTTTTTTATACATTTCAATCCCCAGGTTTAATTAATGACATTGCTTGTCCAAATGCTCCTGGCCCGGCCCTTCTGTCAAATTTTAGAACCCATTCTGGCCCGCAAGTCAAAAAGTTTGCCCACCCCTGGTATAGACCCAGCTCCCAACCTAACTTTGAGAATAGATTAACGGTGATATTTTGTTTATCGTGCAATAAGAGTCTGGCACATTGCCGCCGATGACGGCCCTGCATTAATACAAATACAGTTTAAGAATAAGATTCAATTCTTTCTATTCTGATCTAGTTGTTGGTATTAAAGTCCTTTTTTAAGCTGTCGGCTGAATAACATGACTGTAGTTATGCTACATAATGAAAGAAGTTTTATATTGAAATTTAACAGCAAAAAGAATAAAGTAATGATTATTAATGGCGCCTGGAAGCACAGCGGAAATATGAAAATCATTCAGAATTAGAAAATGAAAACCATTATTTAGCAAAGCCCTACAATAGGGGAAGGTAAAAATATTAGTTTAGAATACTGGAGTTTAGTTTTTCACAATTTAATCTCAGTTTAAAGTTATTGATTAATGAATTGATAATATGAAAATAGACATGCCACATTGCATAGTCATTATGAAGTCAATGAAGTCTCTAAATCATGTAATATAACATATTATACAAAATCCATGAATATAAAATGAATGTGTTAATGGAGCAGAATAATTCAGATGTTAGAACATGGATGTCAAACTAATTTTAATGGGATTCATTATCAAGTCTTTATAAAATCAGCAGATAAGTTCAAACTGATAATAAAAACAATTTCCTCAGATATATTATATTGCGATATATTCGCGTGGAACTGCTTCTGGTTGATCATAAAGCTGAACGTTCAGAAGAGAAAAGGCTAGAGAATGAAAAATGCTAATTTTAACAAAAGAGGCTGGAAAACAAAAAAGAATTCTGGACATGGCTGCAGACTGTCCATGGTAAAGATGATGAAGGGTAATTTAATATAAAAAGCATTAAATTAGAGTAACTAATTCCTGTATAAACCCTGCAATAGTTTGCATCCAATCATTTCAATACATGGTTTTATAGTTTTTTTGGATTAAATAACAACTTTGCTCTATTTTTTTGTTATCGATCTGTTGTTACTATATTGTAATTTGACAAACCGGATCTCCTTTCCCTTCTTTTTCCTGTTTGGTGCGATTGCAATAGCGAATTTTGACACGGTCCGAGCGAAGCTAAAAATAGCTCGGCTCTTTATTTTAACTGTGACGGACGGAGGAGACGTAGGTTGACGGTGACGTGTGGAGGAGTAGCGGTGGATGTGGAACAGTTCTCATGGATTTATTTGACAGACGTGCTCTGTACGACGTACATGAGCAGGACGGAGCGGTTTGGTGACGGAGTTTGTGGAATCTGGGGCTTAGAAAGATGGCCTGCCTGTTCTTTGTGCGTCACACGTCTATTTCGTATCTGAAGTTTGTTTTCCCTCCTCTGCAGGTACAGCCAGGCCGACGCCCTGAAGTACGTTGGGATCGAACGTGAGATGGAGATCGCTTGAGGCCGAGGCCTTACACCCAAACAGCTTCACTTCAGGAACGTTTCGGATGGATTTATTTGGACTTTTTAGTTTCTGTTTCAGACTTTTCTTTTTTCTTCTGTCAAACTTTGTTCTTCTGTCGATGTTCCGATTCCCTCTGGATCTCCGGTCAGCAAAGACCTAAAACTAAGTCTACGGTTGGAGGCTTCAGGGACCAAACTCCTCCTCCACCAGCAGCTCTGGGCCCTCAGGGCCCGGTTCCTCCTCCAGCTTCTATGACCCGGTTCTGTGCTCCTGCAGAGCGCCACATGGATGGATCCAACACTGCCAAACCAATGGGTCTGGTTCTGTTTGACTGAAACGGATCAGAAATGCAGAACCAGGAAGTCTTCATCCGTTCTGGACCTGGAACCGATCCTGGGTGGTGATGCTGCAGCTTTAGGTGCTAAACATGAAAGAATCTAAAAACTCCAGAACCAGCGGGTTCAGTGCTCCACGTTGCTACCCTCAAACTGGACATCTGGACTTGGACCCAGATGTTCTGGTGGTGCTGTTATCCTGTTTTCCCAGAACCCCACAGCAGCCCTGTGCTAATCAGACCTCCTGTGTTTTCTAATCATGATCCGATCTTCAGAGAAGACGGGAACGTTTTACTCGGTCCGATAAAATAAAGGATGAAAGCAGAACCTCTGATGTTCTGGTTGGGAAAACTCCGGGTCAGTGGAGGCTGCCAGTCTGCTTCCTGTTGTTGGATAGGAACCGGACCGGTTCTAACACCTGGTGCTCAGTTTGATTAGAAAAACTTTGTTTTTAAAAACGCTGAATAATCAGCATTTGTGTTTTTTTTATCTCCTGGTTCTAAATTCATCTTTATCGCTAAAGCTGGCGATGCCATGATGGGGAAAACCGCAGCGCTTCCTCTGCCTGCTGTTACCATAGCAACAGCAGGCAGCTACTCTGAGCCTAAAGTCGACCCGGGTTCTAGAGTTTCCATCCGGTCCTTTCCCTCGGTTCTGTAGTCAGCGTTGAGGACAGTCCTGCCCATCATGGACGCTGCTGTTGTTGGACCAGGAGGTTCTGGCTGTGAGGCTCTAATGGGAACCATGTGACCCGTTCTCCGCTGTGCCTTTAGACCCTACCACTACTCAGATGGATCTTCTGCTAACCGACCTCAGGTTCCCACAGCGCCTCACGGGTCGGGTTCTCAGAACATTCCTTAACAACGACCCGCCTTTTCCTCGGACTTCTGGTTTCCCTCACGGGTCCAAACGCCGCCGACTCCAACCAATAGAAGCTCGTCTCTATTTATTCTGACTTTGGACTCCAGAGGTTCTGCTGCAGACGATGGAAACCTGCTGCTGAACCCACTGTTTGAGGTTCTGTAAATATTAGAAAGATCCACCTGTTAGAGTAGAATCATGTTCATGGTGCTGTGCTGGTTCTGGTTTCTCCACGGGTCGGGTAACGAACAGAACCCAGGTGCTCCGCTGCGGCGTTACCCGACCCCGCCTTCTAAACTTCAGGTTCTTCTTCCTGTCTCAGTAGATCCACTTCCTCCTCCTGACACCGGTGCTGATTTTGTAACGTTTACAGGGATTCTGCTGTTCAGCGTGACGCAGATTAAAAATATCCTCAATGGTTTGAATTTGTATGAATTTTTTTTTCCTTTTGAAGATGAAAAATGTTCCAGATTTATGAAAATAAAATCATTTGATTTAAGCAGAAATACCAAATTCCCATTTAAATCCAATCTCCTTGGTTTCCATCTATAAGTTATGATTTAACCTCCAGGACAGCGAGTCGATCCCAGAAACAGCAGCAAAGTTTTCCCACAGGTTGGATGGTTGCTAAGGTAACGGGATTCATCAGGATGGGGTCCAGCCATCTCCCAGATATGGAGGGAATTTGATCCAATATTGGCTCAAGGGACAAGTTTTGGGGAAAAAAATGCAATCTGGAAAAGAAACCTTAAAAGCTTCATTAAAAAAAGTCTTTAACCTTTTATGGGGCAAGCTAGAGTTTTTGATAACTTGTATACCCCTTACAAATGGAGTCTGAGTCTAGAAGCACAAGATCTACATCCAGTCATTCAGCAAAGATGCTGCTGCATGGCTGGACATCTGATTTTGGCATTTAGCCAATTAGATGAACCCTAGCATGATGTATTATCTACTGGAAGTTAAGTTGGGGAAAAAAGGTAATTGTAAAGTTAATAAGCCTAGTTAACAATTATATTTAGGTTTATAAACTAAAAAACATAAGTGCATCAGCATTAATGCCTCTAAGGTGATGTTGTACCAAAAGAAAATGTTTCTTTCACTCAGTTTTTCATGCATTTCCTCTAGAAGCACTTTTTTTTTATTTTCTTAATATTTTCAGGGAAGTTTGCATTTCTTCCATTGACAAATTTTTGCCATCAAAATATCCATATTTTTTAATGTTACAAAGGTAATAAGGTCTTGCCCTGGATTCCAATAACACTATTGGCTTGAAATGTTGATTTTCAAACTATTTCACTGAGGGCCGTTTAAAGGGTTAAAGCAGCTTTGCTTTTTTTTCCTCTAAGCCATCTTTGATTTAAAGACCACGCCCTCTTCACTTTCAAACCTAATAAAAACATTAAGATCTGTGCAGATCAATAGAAATGAGTCCCTTCACTCCAGGAGAGGAGACTGATCTGTTAAACCAAATTTGAAATGCGATTCTGAAAAAAATTTGAAAACAATCCAATCCTTTTTCAATAATTAAAATATGAAAAACAAACATTTAAAAAACATGTAAGAGGAAAAAATATTCCCCATCTGTCCATAGAGGTGAGCAATCTGATAAAACTATGGAGGACTTTGTAAATTCATATTAGCTACTTTTTACAGCAATTTTATATGAAGTCAATTTATTTCTGTTTGTATTTTTTAATCCTTTAAGGATTGGTCCTCCATATAAAACGGGCTTTACTGGAATATAGCAGTCATTTATTGAAGATGGAGGTAATCAGGATGTAAACAAGCATAATAAAAGCAATAATGGATTGCAGTTGATCAAATCAACTACTTACTGCAGCTTCTGTTAAACTAATAGTTCTTAATTTGCTAAAAGCTTAAGAAAAATAAAGTTCTGCACTGCAGCTACCGATCAATTTTTGATTGATCTAAAAATACCTTTGATATTTTAAAATATGGAATATTAAAAAAATATACAAAGGAAAACAATATGAATATAAAAACAATTTAAGATGGAAAAAAACATTTTGTTTATATTTGATGTCATTAACTCCTGAATGTGGGTTTTTCTGTAACAAAAGCCTTTTAATTTTTCAGGCCCAGTTAAAAGTAGTTATGGCATCAATTTTAGAATATTTTACATTAAAATCTTTCAACTAGTTAGTAAGGCCATCTGCAGCTGAAGTGTGTGTTTCAACAAGTGGGGGAGGGGCTACTTTCACTCTTCCTAATTCAGCTGAAGGAGCAGAACATTTCAGCTGGTGTTCGCGAGCGTGGCGTGCTGATCCCGTTTAACCAGCAGCTGGCTCTCAGCTCTGCACAGAACACCGGGAGGCGGGTTAGAGAAATCTTTCCTTGTTTTTATTTATCACACTTAAAAAATGAACCACACTATACAAATGTCCACCGTTCAGTAATGGATCCGGCCTCCTGCATGAACCCGACCTGGAGCCGGACCGCCTCCAGGTTGGGTGGAGTGCGGCGTCCGCTCGGCGACCCGGCCCGTTGTGGTGCAGCGAGGCAGTAGCATGCAGAAACCTTTGGATGCGGCTCTCCTCTCATAGACTAAATTCATAAGGTTTGCTCTATGCAGAGAAGGGTTTTATTCCTCTTACAGTCTGTGGCTGTTATGTACAACATGACGAGGGTGAGTTGGAGTCAATGGGACGGCGAGCGTGTACACGGGGTTTCCCAGCCTCAACAGGAGGGGCCATTCTTCCTTCATCACTGCAGAGCGAGCAGAAAACCCTCCCCATCCTCCTCTGCTCGGTGGTTGGTTGCCATGATGGGGGGGCGACTCCGCCCCTCGGAGGGATCCACACTTTATTTACTCAGACATCAACTTAAAAAAAGGTTACAAATAAAAATCAAAGTGAGGGGAGGCGGCCGGCGGCGATGGAGATCAGGCCAGGTAGCTGTAGGTGTCCTTCTCTCCGTCCACTCGCTCCAGGTACTCCTTCTCTATCAGGATGTCTATGCATTTCTGGCCACAAGAGGGAGACAAAGACGCACTGGTGAGCAGGCAGAGGGTTTCACGATCTGCACCATCATCTGTCTCTGATTCAGGAGCCACAACTTTAATACACTCATTTATCAGCCTGAAGCCTTTAATACAGCTTCATAAACATGTTAACCATTTCTAAATTTTCAATTTTATGTTTCAGTCGTTAGTAGATGTCCTAATGCTGCCTCGTTGCTGCATTAAAGGTGTCAGCTATGACTTTTTCCTAAAAATGAATACATCAGCATAGTGATGGCCCAGCAGTACTGATGTATGGAGCTCAGAGCAAAACGCTGGATCGGTTTAACCTATGTGTAAAAACGGGAAGCATCTGCTAAAAAAAAAAAAAAATCTCTTCTTTTGCAATTTATCATTCAAATTATCAATAACTTTTGAGCAGCCTCAGAGCATTTTTATTTTAATTTACTCAACTTATCTGAATTAAAGTTAATTTCAAATTAGTATATTTACCATTTTTTTTCTGTACTTATTGTTTTAAAAATATGATTTAAAATCCTAGTCCACAAGCATCCTCATTCACATTTTCCCCTAAATTTTAAGGTTATACGTTTATTGGCTGCATCTAAAAATATCAAAGATATTTTCAATTTAAACAGATATGAAATAATACAATATAACCTACAAAAGCGTAAATGATATCATTGCACTAGGTCGACCAATAAGCTGCCTGTAGTGTCTTTAAATGTCCAGCAGATGTCAGTATTCTGTGAGACAGTATCAACGCAGTATTAATAGTTTGTCTAAACGCCTTCAGATGCCTCATTAACCCATCACTACATCCACAGATCCTCTAGTAGTTTAGACTATTTCATCACAGATAAAAGTAAACAAAACAAAACACGGTCCTATAAACCTTTACGGGACAAAAAATATTTTATTATTTGCTTCTGCTTACGACGAACAAACAAAAGGATTCTGCACCGATGGGAACAGCACCTCATCAACAGTACTATCTGTAATAAAGCTCAGAAATGGCTTCTTCCCTACGGAGTCAACTTTGCTCCAATATTGTTTGATGAACACGTTTTGTAAATGAAAAGTAAAAAAAAAAAAAAAAACTAATCAAACATTTTGATCTGTTGATATCAGTCATTATTGATTAGTGTTTTATTCATCTACTTGAAATAAGAACCAGGAGAGAAAAGTCTGCTTAACCCTGACCTTTGACCTCTAATAATCCATCCACTGCCTACATCCCCTATAATTCTATGTGGTTCTGGATCACAGTTCAGTGGAATTAAAAGTTTCATCTAACATTTTATATTGACCGTGGTATCCATGGTGATAAAGATTAGTGCTGATTCATTCCCAAACCCAGACGGTTCTGTTCATGACTGACCAGCAAACGGGTCCGGACCAGAATCACACAGAAACTATGGAGGAAGATCAGAGACACCAGAACCAACAATGTAGATGATCTGAAGGCCAATATCTGGGCTTCCAGAACCAGAACCGATCCCCTCTGTGGGGCCTTCATGCTGAACGAGTCCAGATTGACGACCCAGGGCAAAAATGGCCACTCACAGATCGCAACGACAATTATTCTCTCTTTTTTGTTTGTTTACTGATTAGTGCTAAATTCATTAAATCACAGTGAACGTATTAGTTTTAGGTCTAAATAATGATCCATTGATCATTCCTTGCTGACCGGACTTTTCTTTTAACACTAAAATTTGAGTTTGTTTGAATTTGTCTAAAAGGAGACAAAAGCATGTAATTTCTTCCTAATAGTCTAGCTTTTGGACCTCTAAGCGTCCGTTTCTAGACAGGAGAAGGTGAGAACCAGAACCTTCCCTGTGTTACCTTGATGACGGGGACTCTGGGTTTGAACCGGGACGACAGCTGGTTCAGAACTTCAGCCAGGAGCTGCTGGTGCTTCAGCACCTTCCTCATCTTCATGATCCTCACTATGGCGGCCTAAAACAGAAACACAACGGATTTTATTCTGACCGCTTCTGATGAATCACATCTGATCCGTCATGTTTATGTTTATGGGTGAGGATGGGGCGTCTGACCTGGATGAGCAGCTTCCTGTCCTCCTCGATGTTCTTATGGGTCGTCTCCTGCTCCTGTTTCTGCTCCGTCTTCATGGGGACGTTGATGTTCACCCTCAGCTTCTTGCTGCAGGACATGAAATCAGACAAACATTGAGAGCTGTGCAGGCGGAGCGGGAAATGTCCAGAGAGGGAAAGGTGTCTGACTTCTTGTATCCGAGGAAGAGCTTGATGACCGTATCCGGTTTGAACTCCACCTCGTCCACGTTGGCGTTCTCGTCCTCCAGAACCTGTGAGGCAAAGTTTGGATCAAAGCTCAGAGTCCAGTTCACTCCTCCCATCATCTAGCATCAGATCAGAGCAGCTGGCGCCCTCCTGTGGACGTTTTCTACCCTTCATTTTCTACGCT